TCTCCATGGCCGTCGGCAACCGCAGCGCGTCGTCGCGGATGTACATCTCGTTGACGCAGTGCGCGAGGCCGAAGTGGTCGTTCGGGTGCCACTGGCGGTAGTCGATGATCTCGCAGCCCATGCGCGTCATCGCCGTCTGGAGGTGGTCGCTCTGCTCCCAGTGGGCGTGCGACTTGGTCTGGAGGCAGAAGTAGGTCGCGTGGGCCGCGCCGCTGAGGTCCGCGGTGTCCGCGATGGCCTCGGCGATGAGGTACTTGGCGCGCTGCTCGTACTTCTCCAGCGACGACCGGAGCCAGGCGGGGCAGATGACCATGGACGCGACGACGGCGAGGCAGATGGCGTTGTACGTGTTCTCGTCGATGATGCCCGCGTCGCCGTGCTTCTTCTTGAACGCGGCCGCCGCGATGAAGAACGACATCTCGCCCCACTCGCCCCAGGCCAGCGCTAAGATCCAGAAGTGGTCCCCGTCGAGGGGCTGGGCGAAGAGGCCCATGGCGAGCTTGCCGACCATCGTCGAGAAGAGGAGCGACGCCTTGCCCAGCGTGCCCAGGTGCAGGATCTTCGTGATCGGGATGCTGAAGCCGATCGTGCACGCGAAGAAGAAGCGCATGAGCCACTGCATGACGCGCTTCACCTGCCGGTCCCAGGTCTCGTGGACGAGGTGGTCGCTGCAGAAGCACAGGCCCGCGAGGAACGCGCCCAGGAGCTCCGAGGACCCGCTGTACTTGCACGCGGGGATCAACAACATCGCCACGGAGAAGAGGCTCCCGAGCACGACCGTCGGCCGGTGCCGCTGGGGCACGCGCGGCAGGATCTCCCGCTCCAGCAGCTGGGGCACGACGCGCACGGCCAGGAAGCCGACGACGGCGATGAGGACGACCATGATGAGGATGGGCGCGACGTACTCGTCGACGGCCGCGCCGTCGACGAGGTTCTCCGCGCACGTCAGGAGCATGATCTGGATGATCTCGTTCACCGTCGCCGCCGCGATGATCAGCTGGCCGATGGGCTGGTTCAGCACGGACCCGACCTGAGCACGTTGAGCGTGATGCC